TCGCTAATAGCCAGCGCCAGCGATGACGTCATCAGCAGCTGCAGGGGCGGCGGTTCCTCGGATCAAGCTGGGCTCCCAAGGGCTGGAGGTCTCGGCCCAAGGCCTCGGGTGCATGGGCATGTCCGCCTTCTACGGGCCCCCGAAACCCGAACCCGACATGATCGACCTGATCCGCTTCGCCGTCGACGCCGGCGTCACGTTTCTCGATACCTCCGACGTCTACGGCCCCTTCACCAACGAACTCCTCCTCGGAAAGGTTTTTATAAAAAAAAAAAAAAAAAAAAGAGTTTCATCGGTTCTTTCCGAGATCTTGATATTTTCATGAGCTAAACCATAAAAGTATCAATTTAATTTAATTTGAATTGGTGGTGTTTAATTGATTAAAGGCTTTGAAAGGGGGGGTGAGGGAGAGGGTGGAGCTGGCGACCAAATTCGGGGTAAAAATGGAGGGGTACACGATGGAGGTGCGGGGAGATCCCGCGTACGTGAGGGCTTCCTGCGAGGCGAGCTTGAAGAGGCTGGACGTCGGCTGCATTGATCTCTACTACCAGCATAGCATCGACACTCGAGTCCCCGTCGAGATCACTGTGAGTTTCCATTTGATCGGTTGCTCCTTTTCTTTGCTTCTGCTGGTCTAGTTTTCCTCTTGTTAGAGTCGGTACTTACGTATATTGATGTCAAATGTCCCGCCTTGCACCAAAACTCTGAAGTTGTGGTAAGCGTGTCGAGAGTTAAAAGGAGTTTCATACTCTTAACACGCTCCCTCAGGGTGATAGCTATTTTTATTGGTCGAAATATGGACTCATCTGGGCTCCCTATTTGTTGTCATAGTGACCAAAATATGGGACCAACAAGGAGGACAGGTGAGGTGTCCCCTCCTATTGCATAATGAGCTGGTCATCTCCTTTTGGTCTCATATTTTGGGGTAATTGGGGAATTTTTCTTTATTTAATGTACATGTTAAATTGGTGACAGGCCGAAATTGAACCTGAGTAGCTCTAATACCATCTAAAAGGATCCTATCCTTACGCCAAATATCCGAAGTAGCGGTGATGGTTGAGGATTATAGTTTTATACACTAACAATAGAAATGCTCTTTTTTGGTGTTCTACCCTCATGTTAGTCACCCTTTGAGAAGACTCCAATCATGTCCCAAAAATTATACACATGACTTCCCATAAATATAATTTAGAACTTAGTAGAGAGACCAGTTTGAAAATCATAACGACAATCTAATTCATAATTACCTCCCTATTTAGTGGTAGCAAATTAAATTGGTTAGAAGAAAATCGCTATAATGTGCTCTTTTTAGAAGAGTATTGTCTTTAGACCCTTTTCTTTCTACATTTCCCCTTTCTTTGTTTCCCTAGGTCTGTCGTTGATAAATGTAATCCACATCTGACAGATTGATTACTGTCCAAATCTGAAGGTTTCTTGTCACATGTATAGAAGATAGGTTTATGTTCCTTATACTATAGTATTCTCATGTTATTTTTACATTATCAGATGGGAGAACTTAAGAAACTGGTTGAAGAGGGAAAAATAAAATACGTAGGATTATCTGAGGCCTCGGCGTCAACAATCAGGAGGGCACATGCTGTTCACCCTATAACTGCTGTCCAGCTCGAATGGTCGCTATGGTCAAGGGACGTGGAAGACGACATAATCCCAACTTGTAGGTAATTAAGAGCTCTCATCTCTCTGACAAATTTAATCATTTATATTCATTTAGGAAATCAATCGCATGAGTTTTCACCATTTACGTAATTTTCAGAGAGCTCGGAATAGGAATTGTGGCATACAGTCCTTTGGGGAGGGGCTTCCTATCTTCTGGACCTAAGTTGGTCGAAAATCTAACAGACGAGGATTTCAGAAAGGTACGCGTATTCCAAGAAGCTTATGAACTATTTAGCTGCTCAGGTCTCATGCAGTAAGATGTGCTCTTGATAGTGTGTATTCCAAGAAGCTTATGAACTATTTAGCTGCTCAGGTCTCATGCAGTAAGATGTGCTCTTGATAGTGAAATCAAAAGAACCAGATATAACTTTACTAGGTCTCATGCAGTAAGATGTGCTCTTGATAGTGAAATCAAAAGAACCAGATATAACTTTACTAGAATCATGTCTTTCGAACTGGTAATTGCTGTCAACTGAACCATGGGCTTCTGATTAGTCATGTATCAACTTAGCCATGTTCTTTTACTACCTAATTAGAAAGCCAAGTAACTTGACCGGCATGTTTGAGGTGATCACTTTGAGGAGTGTCGCCTCCTCCTTTGTGCTTGCTTGGCTAGCTTACCATGGGCTTACCATGGTTGATACAAACTGATGCAATCATTTGTGACTTGATGGGTAACTTCTCTGTCAAATACTAATGCATAGATTAAATCCACCAGCAATTCTTTATAAAAATGCATCTATAACTGTTTAAGTTCCTTTTAAAGTACATTTCTAGGCTCATTTCACATTTGTCATCCTGCCACACAAAAAATCTTACTATGTATAATCGAGGAAAACGGGAGATATCATGGGAATGATGCTCCTAGTTTCTCATACACGACCTTACAATGTGACACACAAACTATTCCTATTGAAGGCGGTAAATTTGAAATTCTTAAACAGTTGGAACAATTGTTGTGGTTTTTTTTTAAGAGGGATAGATGCATCTGCTGAGCTTGGGGTCTTGAGATCATGGCTCTGATAAAAGTAACTGTCTTATTTCTCATAATCTGGAAGAATACATCTATGCTTATATGTGGGTCTACGTATCTAGTCAATATCTCAATGAATACATAAATCTGGAAGAATACATCTATGCTTATATGTGGGTCTACGTATCTAGTCAATATCTCAATGAATACATATACCGTATAATTCTAACTGTTCCCACAACTAATAATGGACTTTTATTTGCCAGTACTTGCCGAGGTTACAGCCAGGGAATTTGGAGCAGAATATTACATTATTTGAAAGAGTTAGTGAGATGGCTTCAAGAAAAGGATGCACCCCTTCTCAACTAGCATTAGCCTGGGTTCACCACCAAGGAAATGATGTTTGCCCTATACCTGGAACTACTAAGATCGAGAACTTGAAACAAAACATAGGAGCACTCTCTGTTAAGCTGACAAAGGAAGAAATGGTACAGCTCGAATCTTTTGCTTCTGCTGATGCTGTTAAAGGCGATAGATATCCTGCGACGGTGCAGACTTGGAAGGATTCAGAGACCCCACCTCTTTCTTCATGGAAAAGTGAATAGAAAGTGTTGCCTTCTAGTTTTCTATATCAAAGCTTGCGTCCTGTTAGTTAGTAGTAATAAGATCGTTGAGCCCTACTTTGCATGTGGTGTTGAATCAGAGTTGTGTATGAATTGCCAGAACTATCTTCGTTGAGCTGTTTGTATTTGGTTTGTAAGCATAATAATGTGAGATGTTTTTGCTATGACTTGTTTATAGCATATATTTTGTTGTTGCTGTTATCTACTGTGATTATATGCAACAGAGACTAAGGGTTTACTACTATTGTTATTCTGAAAAGGCCCTCAAGTCATCATCAGAAGATTCAGAACCCACCAAACTTGTTGAGACGCTAGTCACGATAGCCTTGTGCCCGCTATTGCTATTTACCCTGTGCCCATTAATTATCAGATCATTGGAGAAATCTTATGTCTTTGGTCCATTGCCAGCAAATATAACTGACAAGAAGACAAGAAAAGTTCATCACATTTTTTGACTGAAACAGATATCCACTTAACACGTTTGGTATTCTCCAAAACAAAAGGCAAAGTGTGTTTTGATGGAAAATGCAAAGCATCACATATAATTACATGCACAAAACGAGCTACGATAAGAGACTGCCCTAACTTCTCCCAAAATAAGAAAGCAGAGATGATTGCTTATCATCTGTATTCTTTACGCTTTTCACCTTCTTCTTCACTGGACTTGTTTGGTTGCGTTGTAAATTCTCGTGCTTTGGTTGAGAAGGGTTCTCCATTTCCTCCAATCCTCTTTTGACACAAGAAATTTCAGGCTTTTTGTTATCCTCCTCCTCGTCGGTGACTTTTTGCTCAACATCATCTGAACCTGGTTCTTCCTTCAAATTGCAGGGATCATGTTCTTGTTTGGATGATTTCAGTAATTCAGGCTCTGGTTCGCATTTAACTTCAGATTTCTTTGTGAAGAACGTTGATAACGGTTTTTCACCGGAAGCTTTCAGCTGTATCTACAGTTCATAAGGCAGACAAGTAAGCTGGCCGTGGATTGCTTAAAAGGTAAATGGTATGAATCCTCTTAGTTTGTACTCTTCTTCCAACACTTCACTGATGAACGTCTTTCAAATTGTCTTCCTTCAATAAATATCACTAAATCAGTGTGTTTTCTTGTAGGTAAAAGTGTGTTTTTGGCATGGCATTGAACTGAAGTGCACCTATAGCATCTCATTAGTATCATATCATCAGCAGGACTGATGCATCCCACCATCTTTATCAGAAGTTACACATGGCTCAAACACATACAAATAGTTTTAAACCAGTACTGAGTTAAAAGCTCACCTCTTTACTACATTCAGGCCCATCAAAGGATGGTTTACCCATTGCAGGCGTCACGGGATACCAAACCTGAGGAGGAGAGGAATCAAGGAGGAATGATAAGGACAAGAACTTGTGACAGACAGCACAGCAATTTGAATTGTAAATGGTAGTAAAAAGGGGAACCTTACATCAAGAAATAACAACAGTATACTAGTCACAAATATAGGTAGTTACGAATAATTATTATTATAATACCTCAAGATTGACAAATTGGAAACACCCAGAAGAAATTTTCTAGGTAATAAAGCAATAATGACGAGATTACATTAGATACGTTGATTTTCGCAAAAGTTCATTATTTAATAAGTAGACATAAAAAAAGGGACTCATGTACTGCAGTTTGACATTCAACAAGAGACATAAGTGACATGATTCACTCAGGAAACTTAAAACTTGCAAGACTGAAAACTTACTAGATCAAGATCTTCACAAGGCCCAAGGACTGTTTCATGTTTGGCCATGGAATCATTTAACCAGAGATCAATTGAACCAGTGTCTCTTAAGATTACAGGCATTCTATCTGTGCAGTATACAAAAAAAATCATTAAATGTTCATAGTTAGACAACAAAAAAACAAATAAATGTTCTCCTGAATCCTGATTTCTTTAACCTCTTTATGTTAAAAAATATTCTCCTAATTTCTTTAACCTCTATGTGTTAAAAAAATATTCTCCTGATTTCTTTACAGGCATTCATCTGTACAGTATACAAAAAAAATGTTCATAGTTAGACTGTTGTGGATAGACGTCGTCGCTGTTTTGGCTCAGAAGCCTGATCAAACCGTCCTTCTTCTTCAACTGTGCACCACCAAGAACACAAAGGGGAGCCCGATCTTCGCCTTAAATCACTCACAAAGAGGGAAGGGGATTCGCACAAAGGGGGTGAGAGCACAAAGCTCACAGGAGGGATCACACAAAGGGGGGGGGGGATCACTCAGATCTCCAGAGAGCACAAAGCTCTTGTTCTTTCTTCTTCCTCTTTCTCCTCTACCGAGCTACTACGAACCCATTACCCTTATATAGGGAAGGGGGCAGCCGACACGGGAGAGAGGCAAGGGAATCGACTGGTAGGAGCCAACCTACAAGGATGGGAGATGGGACTCGCAGCGGCAGCGGCGTAGGACACAGGGATGGGGAAGAGGCGAAAGACTTACAGAGTACCATCGGGTAGGATAGAGGAATAGAGGGGGCTAGGGCACAAGTAGTGGGCAGCTGGGCCTTTTGGTAACGGGCTAGAAATTGGGCCAACAAAAATAGCAACAATCTCCACCTTTGGCCTAAGGTAGTGTACAGAGAAAAAAACACGGAACTGCAGGACTCATCATCGCCAAAACCATTACCTGTATGATCACAAAGAAGATACAAGCAATGGAAGAGAATACACAAAGTAAACTCAGATCACAAAGATCGGGGTAAGATCACCAAGCATACCAAGTCCACAAAGGACCGAACTCTACCAAACGGTCATCGAGTTCAAAGGGGAAAAATCACAAAGCTACTAACAAGCACAAAGCAAGTTAATAGGCCACAAAGGCAACACACAAAGCAAATGAAAGATTACCCAAAAACAAAATTCAATGCCAAGTCCACAAAGGACCGAACTCTATAAGTCTTAGGTTCATTGCACTCAAGGGATTCAAACACATTAAAGGCAAACTCAGACATATTACTATAAGTCTTAGGTTCATTGCACTCAAGGGATTCAAACACATTAAAGGCAAACTCAGACATATTACAATCTATCAAATTGCAATCTCTATATCTCAAGGGATTCAAACACATTAAAGGCAAACTCAGACATATTACAATCTATCAAATTGCAATCTCTATATCTCTCAGGTTTCCTAATAGTTCTTTTATTTCTATCCCTAGTGAGTTGATTATCATTCAAATCATGCATGTTATCTATTTTCTGCATATCATGCTCCACCTCATTAGGAATAATCTCATCTTGATTTTTAATAATTATATCTTCAGGATGTGATTCAGGTTGATTAATAATAGGTATTTGCTCCACCTCATTTGGAGCATCATTTTCAGAAATAGGGACAGGTAAAGGTAAACAAGGAAATTTATTTTCATTAAGAATAACATCTCTACTTATCACTACCTTAAACCCCAGTTCACTCTTATTCCAAAGCCTATAACATTTTACCCCTTCATGGTATCCTAAGAAAACACATTTCTTAGATCTAGGTTCTAACTTATCAATCCTTTGATGTACATAGCCAGCACTCCCGAAAATCCTCAAATTATTTTTCATCCTCTCTGTTGAGGATCCTTTGTCACTACCAAAGTGACTACCTTCATGCAAAATTTCTAATCCTTTATTTCTAATGTGATCTAATCTATTATGCCAGAAAACAGATTTATCACCTATCACAGAGTTAACAGAATCAAGCACAGGTTCAGCATGACAAACATACAAGTTATTTTGTTTTTCAGCAGTAAAAATAACAAGAGACCCTTTCAAAATTTTCATAACCCCTTTACCCCATTTTCCCTCCAAACCATCATTTTCTAGAGATGCACAAGAAATAAAGTTATAACGTAAATCAAGAACATGTCTAACATCCTTCAAAGTAAACACAGAACCAGAAGAAAACCTAATGCATACATCACCAGTTCCTAAAACATTGCATTTCTTTTCATTTGCCATTGACACAAAACCATTTTCTATTTTCTTGTAGTTTGAAAACAAGTTTTTAAAAGGAGTCATATGAAAAGTACAACCAGAGTCGACCAACCAATCTGATTTACACAAAGGATCAGATAACACAGAGTTCAAATATGCATAATAACACAGATTATTAATCATGAAAATTTCACCCATTTCGCCCTCACAGACAGTCATATTAGTATGATCATTTTGTTGATTTTCCCTAGGCTTAGGACAATCTCTAATAAAGTGACCGGTTTCATGACAGTTATAGCATCTTCTAACTTTAGACCTAAACTTAGATCTACCCCTTTCATTTTCGAATATTTTCTTACTTGATTCCCCATTACTAGCATTCTTTTGGAACAAATATTAAACGAAAATTGCCTTAAAGTGGTTGATTAAAAAACTAAACCCACTTATTAGTTATTATTGCCTCGTTCGATACGCGAGAATGGGTAGGAATGGGATGCCAATTCGTACATCTCGGCTCTCATTCCTTCGTATCAAACACGACGTGTTTTTGGAAGCTAGAAAGCTCATTCTCACTTCTCATCAATTCCCACTTAAGTGGGAGTGGCGAATCTCAATGGGATGCTTAGGATTGGGCATTCCCACTTAAGCAGGAATTTAAACAATACATATTTTCTAATTATACTCATTCCTATTTCATTTTCTAATTGCACCAAAACATGTTCCGTGTTAATTCTGTTCATTGTTTCACTCCAGTCTCACTTCACCCGGTTCCTGCTTACAAAACAAGTGGTTTCCGAACAAAAACAACTTTAAAAGGTGCTCCTATCAGTTTACCTTATTTTAAATGTCATGATAATGGAAACCCCCTCTGTTTGAACTCCAGTTACTCCTATAATAATAGTCTTAACGTTCCGGCTTTCAGTAGAGATTGATCAGCCCCGTTAACGCTTTAACACAAGATCCATCTTTTCGGGAAGCAATCCCGCTCCAAAGTTAATCTAAAAGCATAAGCATTCCACCGAGCAGAAGTTGACAAATGTACCTTTCGCCACCAATTCCTCGCATCGCGGTCGATCGCCCTCAACCAGCCTCAACGGCACTCCGTCAAGCCCATCGGTGTCCCACCTCCTCCCGCTCTCCCTACTCCCATGCTCATTCGACCTCATGAATGAA